TCCCCCTCCACACATACACAAAGTTTTGTGTGAGGATGATACTCTTTCGCATATGTCTTTCTCTGAGCTCCATAGTTTGCTTGCTTCAAAGGGTATTTGTGCTTTCTACAGCTAAATAGGTTGAATGCTGTACTTCAGAGGAAGGAACGAGCAAAATGACCTCTAAGAATTCCTTGCCTAAGAAAACCCATGAAATGCATAGGATCCCACCACTATCGTAAACACAGTTGATGGGAACGAGAGACAAGGCCTTCTCAGCAGTGGCCCCCCACCTATGGAACGCCCTCCCTAGAGATATCAGATTGGCCACCTCCCTCTTGTCTTTTAGAAGGAAAATCAAGACTTGGTTATGGGACCAAGCGTTTGATCAGTGAGCAGCAAGTGGAAGAAGATCACACAACGTATCGCAATGAATTGACCCAGACTGGTTTTTGGATTTCAATTTTAATGGATGTGTCTTAATTAATTGTTTTAATTGTTGTTTTAATTTTTAAAATTTTGATTGTACTGTGGTTGTTTTTATGATGCTAGCATCATATGGAGCCCCCGGTGGCGCAGTGGGTTAAAGCACTGAGCTGCTGAGCTTGTTGATCGAAAGGTTGCAGGTTCGATTCCGGGGAGCGGCGTGAGCTTCCGCTGTCAGCCCTAGCTTCTACCAACCTAGCAGTTCGAAAACATGCAAATGTGAGTAGATCAATAGGTACCGCTCCGGCGGGAAGGTAAGGGCGCTCCATGCAGTCATGCCGGCCATATGACCTTGGAGGTGTCTACGGACAACGCTGGTTCTTCAGCTTAGAAATGGAGATGAGCACCACACCCCAGAGTCAGACATGACTGGACTTAATGTCAGGGGACTACCTTTACCTTTAGCATCGTATGATGCTTTTTTTAAAAAAAATAATTTTTATTGTTTCATAGTGTATGTAGAAAACAAAACAAATGAACAAAAGGAAAAAATTAACAAAGAAAACATATGCAAAAAATTTACAAAAGAGTCAACATTCAGCGCTCATTAAACATATGTACAATCAGATTTGGTTGTACAATGATTTATACCTTAGCATTTCATAACCCTCTATCCTTTTGTTAGGCCGCCCTGAGTCCCCCTTTCGGGGGGAGAAGGAAATAAATAAATCTATATCTATATCTATATATAAATGCTCTGTGCATAATGAGTACCTTAAAAACAAGAGAACCAATGAACGAAATCACACCAAATTTGGCAACAAAACGTCTCACTACACAAGGAGTGACCATCACTCAAAAAATTATGATTTTGTCATTTGGGAGTTGTAGTTGCTGGGATTTATAGTTCACCCATAATCAAAGAGCATTCTGAACTCCACCAATGATGGAATTGAACCAAACGTGGCACACAGAACTCCCCTGACCAACAGAAAATACTGGAAGGGTTTGGTGGGCATTGATCTTGAGTTTGGGACTTGTAGTTCACCTACACCCAGAGAGCACTGTGGACTCAAACAATGATGGATCTGGACCAAACTTGGCACAAATATTCCATATGCCCAAATATGAACACAGATGGAGTTTGGGGAAATAGACCTTGACATTTGGGAGTTGTAGTCACTGGGATTCACAGTTCACATACAATCAAAGAGCATTCTGAACCCCTCGAAACAGAATCGGGGCAAACTTCCCACACAGAACCCCCATGAGCAACAGAAAATACTTAAGGCCATCTAATCCAACTCCCTTCATCAGGGCAAGAAAAAGTAATCAAAGTCCTCCTGACAAAGAACCATCCAGCCATAGAGATAGATAGATAGATAGATAGATAGATAGATAGATAGATAGATATGATTCACACACACACATAGATAGAGTATCCTAGATAGGAAAGGAACCCTTACAGAAGGACTATGATATGTTGCATGTTCCAGAGTAGGCAAACCAGACAATCTCCACCTCAACACTAACAAATAAACAGCAAGAAATACTGTTTACCCACAAGCATAAAGGCATTAAATATATTAGAAACCAACACTTTCTCATTACTTTATTTTCCAGATCAACAGACTGGGCCACAGCAACGCGTGGCAGGGTACAGCTAGTAATAAATAAATATCAAATCACTTTCAACAAAAGATTCCCCCCAGGCACTTCCAAGCCATTCAATGGTAATCAAGGTGGTCAGTTGAAACATTCACACCGAGCTCCAACAGATAAGAGTTCTTTGTCGCGCCCTGGTCATTCCACAGATATATAAACCCATTTTCCTACTTCCAAAAGACTTCACTACGTCTGACGATACTTGCCATAGATGCAGGTGAAATGTCAGGAGAAAATGCCTCTAGAACAATGGCCATATAGCCTGGAAATACCTACAACAACCCAATTAAAAAAAATAGAAAGTAAAGCAAGAAGGAAGACAGCAAGCATTTTTCATCTCATAGTTTATTTTTATTGTTTGCTTTTTCTTTACCCCCGTTCTCTCTTTTCTTCTCATACTTTCCTATAAATGACAAATGTTCCCCCGCTTTTAATGTAAATGAGGTTCCCCCTCCCCTTTTTTTCTTATTTTTCTCTTTTCCAAATATTATCTTCTTTCAACAATAAAATATAAATTACAAGAACATGGAAAAAGTTTATTAAACTGCAAAAACTTTTTGCGATAATTTTTCAATGACTATCTCAGAGAGTCTCAACCACTTCAACATAGTTTGTGGCGAACACAAAACAAAATTTTCTAGAGGAGAACAACTACTTTCAAAGTAAGTGCCACACAATTCAATCAGGAACAGTGATTTTTTTCAAATGCCTTTACATAGTGTAATCGCTCCCCAGGGTCTTGCTAGGCATCCTGGCTGTCAAATAATCTCTTTAGAGTCTCAATGGTAGTATTGAACGGAGGCAGATTGAGCCGCAAAAGAAACTCGTGAGGCTTAAGTATCTGAGGAATGCCATTTCATTAAGTTTCTGGAATTCCAAATATATTGGAATTTGAAAGGCGGTGTTCCCACCTTGCTCATCTTCGCTTCACTTTCCTCCTCCACTTGCTCTTTCGAGGATTAAACAAAAGGAAGAAACATAAGCATGCCATTTCTGGGAGAACTGTCTAAGAAAACTCTGACACTAAATCTTTTTTATTCATACAAAGTACATTCTCTCACGGACTTCATGAGATGGTTGAGATAGTGATGCATAAATACTACATGTGTTATCATATGAAGTGGGCATTTTATCTGGAATTGGGTATTCCCTCTCCAATATTTTTTTAAAACTCAAGTTCCAGGATGCATAGTGAACGTTGACAAGCTGGAATATGTCCAGAGGAGGGCGACTAAAATGATCAAGGGTCCAGAGAACAAGCCCTGTGAGGAGTGGCTTAAAGAGCTGGGCATGTTTAGCCTGCAGAAGATAATGCTGGGAGGAGACATGATGAGGGCCATGTATTAATATGTGAGAGGAAGTCACAGGGAAGAGGGAGCAAGCTTGTTTTCTGCTGCCCTGGAGACTAAGAAGCAGAACAGTGGCTTCAAACTACAGGAAAGGAGACTCCATCTGAACATTAGGAAGAACTTCCTGACTATGAGAGCCATTCAGCAGTGGAACTCCAGCAACGCAGGGCAGGGGATGGCTAGTATACATATATACACACACAAAACACATACACATAGACTGGGCCACAGTAATGCAGGGCAGGGGATGGCTAGTATACATATATACATATACACACACAAAAAACATATACACAGACTGGGCCACAGCAATGCAGGGCAGGGGATGGCTAGTATACATATATACATATATATACACACACAAAACACATATACATAGACTGGGCCACAGCAACGCAGGGCAAGGGATGGCTAGTATACATATATACATATATACACACAAAACACATATACATAGACTGGGCCACAGCAACGCAGGGCAAGGGATGGCTAGTATACATATATACATATATACACACACAAAACACATATACATAGACTGGGCCACAGCAACGCAGGGCAAGGGATGGCTAGTATACATATATACATATATACACACACAAAACACATATACATAGACTGGGCCACAGCAACGCAGGGCAAGGGATGGCTAGTATACATATATACATATATACACACACAAAACACATATACATAGACTGGGCCACAGCAATGCGTGGCAGGGGATGGCTAGTAGATAGATAGATAGATAGATAGATAGATAGATAGATAGATAGATAGATAGATAGACACACAAAACACATATACATAGACTGGGCCACAGCAATGTATGACAGGGGACAGTTAGTAAGTATATAAAACAGATATACAAATCAATCATGTAGTGATAATAAATCATCATTCCCAAGGATTCCTAAACACGCTATGTTTTCTTTTTATGAAGTACAACTGAAGCATTTTCTGCAGAGTCCTCTTTACTGCATATTGTTGCAAACAGATCCGTACAAATGTCAAAAAAGAATTACTGGGTGGCAAAACTTTTCCTGTGGTTATATTTTTACCAGGAAATGCAACAAGGACTGTTAGAGAGATTACATATCAAGAAAGGTTGGGTCAGCCCTGTCATGATGCAGTGAGTCGTCTACTTCAGGTGGCAAATGCTGAAGGTCGTGGAGTGGAAGTGAGTTGTTGTGGGGACAGAATCATGTATACTATGCAAGATTATGTGGCCTGAAACTAGCTTGTTCTTCTCAGGAGTGGCTGTTCCATTGCAAAGGCTAGCATAAGAGTCAATGGCCAATCAGACTGGTTTCTAATCATGGTATTGATGGTTTCCAACCAAGGTGTTGATGGTTATATTTCATCTCAGGCAGCAAAATACCTGGTGTTAGGCTCCCAGAGTGCTATGAAGCTGAGGTCACAGATGAGTCTCTTGTGAGCTCAAAGGTTCTATCCCAGACTCCTCAGGTGCTGACTCGATTCCTTGTCTTGATGGAGCCTGTGGATTGTTCTGTCCCATCTCACCTTCCATATGAAGTTGCTTTGTGACTTCCTGGCCTCCTCCTGCCATAGAGAGGAAGGATGGACCTTCTCCTTGGGCTCTGTACCCTCTTCCAGCTCTTTCTGTCCTCCTCCAGCAGTAAGCAACAGTGGCCAGAGCCAGAATACTGAAATTGTGCCCCCCGGTTCTGGGGAGAAGGTGGGGGTTAGGGATGAGGCCTGCGTGATTCAGAAATATAGCATTTTTATGTATGAATGGGAAACAATAACAAACACTGAGACCATAATTAAACTTTTATTTAGACATCATAATCTGTACCAGCTGAAATTAGTCTGCTTTTCTAACACTTCATTCAAAGGTGTTTGTATCTTTGAGTCATCAGTCAAATGATGGAGACAACATGACTTTCATGGAGTTTTCTTAGGCAGCAACATATTATTTAGGGAGGGTAGATAGTATTGGGTTGTTGTAGTTTTTTTTGGGCCTGCATCTATGGCAAGCATCCTCAGAGGCAGTGAGGTGTATAGATGCAGGCCATCTATAGACCTCACTACCATAGATGCAGGCAAAATGTCGGGAGAGAATGCCTCCAGAACATGACCATATAGCCCGAAAAAACCTACAACAACCCAGTGATTCTGGCCATGAAAGCCTTCGACAATAGGTAGATAGTACTGATTTACATCAGATATTTATCTCTTACTAGCTGTCCCTTGCCACGCGTTGCTGTGGCCCACATGGGGGTTCTGTGTGGGAGGTTTGGCCCAATTCTATCGTTGGTGGGGTTCAGAATGCTCTTCCACCTTGGATCGCCTTCAGGTTGAGGAAGGCGGCATAGAAATGCAGTAAATAAATAAATAAATACATGTAGGTGAACTAGAAATCCCAGCAACTACAACTCCCAAATGTCAAGGTCTATTTTCCCCAAACTCCACCGGTGTTCACATTTGGTCATATTGAGTACTTGTGCCAAGTTTGGTCCAGATCCATCATTGTTTGAGTCCACAGTGCTCTCTGAACGTAGATGAAGTACAACGCCAAAACTCAAGGTCAATGCCCACGAAACTCTTCCAATATTTTCTGTTGATCACGGGAATTCTGTGGTGGATTCTGTGGTGGAATTCAGAATACTCTTCGATTGTAAGTTCACTATAAATCCCAGCAACTACAACTCCCAAATGACAGAATCTTACTTACTTAGGTGATCCCTCGTAGTCCGAGGATGATGGTCCTCCAAGTGTAGTGTCCTGGCGGTGGGTCCGTAGGTGACTGTGGAGCCCTATTCTTAATCTGCATCTTCTCCCACAGTGAAGGCATCGGTTTCCAGGTGGAAGGTGGTCCTGATTGGCATTGGCTTGACGCACCTTCCTCTTGGCCCGTTTCTCTCTTTGGCCCTCCATTCGTGCCTCTTCAAATTCTGCAGCACTGCTGGTCACAGCTGACCTCCAACTGGAGCGCTCAAGGGCCAGGGCTTCCCAGTTCTCAGTGTCTATGCCAGAGTTTTTAAAAACTCTGGTTGAGAACCACTAGGATTGAGGATTATACAATGTTCTGATCCAGACATGGAAGATATATGTTCTTACAGATTATTTTGACCAACCACTTCTGTATTTTCATGCTGTTGGCAATATTGATTTGGGATGATGGGATTGGCAGTCTAACGACATCCAGAAAGCCAGAAGTTGCCCACCTCTCTTCTCACTGCTCTTCCCTAGTCTGTGGCTTTCGACAACAGAGGCCCAACTTGGACAGTCTCCCAGAACAGAGTGAAGAACCAGAGGCTCCATGGATAGTGAACATTTTTGGCAATGGGAAGAGCTGCCAAGGAGTTGTCCTGAGCAGCTGGTGGGTCCTGACAGCAGCCAACTGCTTCCTGACGATGTAAGTAATGTAGACTCTCCTCTACAGTTCCATTTTAATGGGAAGCCTTAGCATTGAACGGTTGTGCTGTTAGAACTGTTTCTCCCTTTATAAGAGTTTCTAGCTGTCATTCTCTCATGTGCTGGAGCTGATGAACAACTGCACTGCATCCTGTCAGATCCCCAAAATCTGGAGGAAAGCAAGTCATCACCATCTTGAAGCCAGGCAAAGACCGTAATGACCCAAAAAGCTATAGACCAATCTCCCTGTTGTGCCACCTCTACAAAGTTCTGGAGAGACTTATTTTGCATAGAATTATGGAAAAAATAGACCCCTGTCTGATTCCACAGCAAGCTGGCTTCAGGAAAGGCAAAAGCTGCACATCGCAAGTACTGAACCTGACTCAGCACATAGAAGATGGCTTTGAAAGGCAGCAGATCACAGGAGCTGTCTTCATAGACCTGTCAGCAGCCAATGATACTGTAAACCACCGCCTCCTCCTGAGAAAAATGTATAGTATCACAAAGGACTACCACCTCACCCGCCTCATAGGAAACCTGCTACAAAACAGGAGCTTTTTTGTTGAGTTCCAGGGCCAGAGAAGCAGATGGCGGAAACAGAAGAACGGCCTGCCTCAGGGGAGCGTGCTTGCTCCATCCATGTTCAACATCTACACAAATGACCAGCCACTGCCAGAAGGGACAGAAAGCTTCATCTATGCTGATGATCGTGCCATTACCGCTCAAGCAGGGAGCTTTGAGATGGTTGAACAGAAGCTCTCCGAAGCTCTAGGTGCTCTTACTGCCTATTACAGGGAAAACCAGCTGATCCCTAACCCATCTAAAACACAGACATGTGCTTTTCATCTTAAGAACAGACAAGCATCCAGCTCTGAGGATCACCTGGGAAGGAATCCCACTGGAGCATTGCAGACACCCAAATACCTGGGAGTCACTCTGGACTGTGCTCTGACCTACAAGAAGCACTGCCTGAATATCAAGCAAAAAGTGGGTGCTAGAAACAATATCATACGAAAGCTGACTGGCACAACCTGGGGATCACAACCAGACACAGTGAAGACATCTGCCCTTGCGCTATGCTACTCTGCTGCTGAGTACGCATGCCCAGTGTGGAACACATCTCACCACACTAAAACAGTGGATGTGGCTCTTAATGAGACATGCCGCATTATCACAGGGTGTCTGCACCCTACACCATTGGAGAAATTACACTGCTTAGCCGGTATTGCACCACCTGACATCCGCCGGGAAGTGGCAGCCAATAGTGAAAGGACCAAGGCAGAGACATCTCCAGCTCATCCCTTGTTTGGGTATCAGCCAGCACGTCAATGACTTAAATCAAGAAATAGTTTTCTAAGATCTACAGAGACACTCGCTGGAACACCTCAGCAAGCGAGAGTCCAAAAGTGGCAGGCTCAAACCCAGAACCTCAATCAATGGCTGATACCAAATGAGAGACTCCCCCCTGGGCACACAGAAGACTGGGCAACTTGGAAGGAGCTGAACAGACTGCGCTCTGGCACCACGAGATGCAGAGCCAATCTTAAGAAATGGGGCTACAAAGTGGAATCCACGACATGCGAGTGTGGAGAAGAGCAAACCAGACCACCTGCTGCAATGCAACCTGAGCCCTGCTAAATGCACAATGGAGGACCTTCTTGCGGCAACACCAGAGGCACTCCAAGTGGCCAGATACTGGTCAAAGGACATTTAATCAACTACCAAGCTTGCAAACTCTGTGTCTTTTGTATGTTTGTTTGTTTGTTCTGTCAAAAATGTAATACAACTGTTCGGTTGCTGTCATTCTGGAATTGTTCTCTCTGTGTTGAACATCGTGCCAGAATAATATGCAAGCTGTGGTAAGTCCTGCAATTCGAAAATGTTACTTTGGAAAAGTTAACCTTAACTTTTTGATTGCAGGTTGCCAAGCCATGTAGAGTTGACTGGGGCGAGTGGGCGGACCTACACTGAGACGGTGAGCCAGTTTGTCCCACACAAGGGCTTCAGTCCCTGGGATGAAACACCTAATAATGACTTGGGACTCGTTATGCTTGGCCAACCACTTGATCTAGCAAGGGAAGATATGTGGCCAGCTTGTACCCCCAGTGACGACACAGCTTTTAATTCACAGGAAGGATGTAAGATATTTGAACGAAGTGTGCAAGGTGCGTATTATAAGTGTGCAATTGGGATTGTGGGCATTATATCTATGGTAGGAAACTGCTATAGGGGATAGTCATTGCTACTTGAATAAATAGATCTGCAAGTTATTAAAAAAATAACCAGCTGCTGATAAAACTGCGTGCCTGGCACATCTGTAATACTTGCTATATATGTATAGCAGTTGGTATATTGTGCATGGGATTCTGTGAGTATCAGGAACATTTAAAATCAATTGTTCATAGTTTCTGTGCCTATGAAAATATTTGAAAACGTGGTCTGGTGGCTAAGGATGACTTTTGGGGTGGCTGAAAGGGATTTGCAAAATTTGTTTGATTATTTGGATTTTTTTAAAAAAAAATACATTTATGGAGTTTGTTTCCAAAAGGTACGTAATCCACCTGGTCAAATGTTATAGGAATCGGAAAAAGCATGCTGAGCATGTACGAGGGTTGAATGAAAAGTAATGCCTTCACCTTTGTAACTCAACATATGGCAGGTACTGGTATATGGCAGGTACTGGCTTGTTCAGTAGACTCTCAACTACGGTTCCATTTTACTGTGATGCGGTGGCAAAAAAAGCCAATGGGATTTTGGCCTGCATCAATAGGAGCATAGTGTCTAGATCTAGGGAAGTCATGCTACCCCTCTATTCCTCCTTGGTTAGACCACACTTGGAATATTGTGTCCAATTCTGGGGACCACAATTCAAGAGAGATATTGACAAGTTGGAATGTGTCCAGAGGAGGGCGACTAAAATGATCAAGGGTCTGGAGAACAAGCCCTATGAGGAGCGGCTTAAGGAGCTGGGCATGTTTAGCCTGAAGAAGAGAAGGCTGAGAGGAGATATGATAGCCATGTATAAATATGTTAAAGGAAGCCACAGGGAGGAGGGAGCAAGCTTGTTTTCCACTTCCCTGGAGACTAGGACGTGGAACAATGGCTTCAAACTACATGAAAGGAGATTCCATCTGAACATGAGGAAGAACTTCCTGACTGTGAGAGCCGTTCAGCAGTGGAACTCTCTGCCCCGGAGTGTGGTGGAGGGTCCTTCTTTAGAAGCTTTTAAACAGAGGCTGGATGGCCATCTGTCGGGGGTGATTTAAATGCAATATTCCTGATTCTTGGCAGGGGGGTTGGACTGGATGGCCCATGAGGTCTCTTCCAACTCTTTGATTCTATGATTCTATGGTTGTGTTGTTAAAGTGTGAAGTATGGAACCCTGTGCAGACGGTCGGTCAATGCGACTTAAGCAGCATGCAGTCATTGAATTCTTGACAGCAGGAGGTGTCACCCCAAAGGAGATTCATCAGAGAATGCAAGCTGTTTATGGTGATTGTGTTGATGCGAGTACTGTGCGTCGTTGGACGAGTAAGTTTAAAGATGTTGATGTGGGAATATCTGACTTGCATGACAAACAAGGAGTTGGACGTCCTGTGACAGCAACCACCAAGTTTCACAAGAAAAAAGTTGGCAGATTGATTCAGGACGATTGTTGTATCACTCAGAGAGAAATTTCAAGTATAATCGGCATTTCACAAGAACGTGTGGGTCACATTATTGCTTTGCTTGGCTATCGGAAGATCTGTGCACCATGGATACCCAGGATGCTGACGCCTGAAATGAAAGTGCACAGACTTGAAACTTCAGAAAATGGATCTCACCACCATACGACATCCTCCATGCAGTCCAGATTTAGCACCATCTGACTTCCATCTGTCCCCGATAATGCAAGAAGATCTGCAGGGACATCATTACGATTCTGATGAAGACGTTGAGAACACTGTGAGATGCTGTTTGCAGAAACAGAGTTTCGACTTCTTCTGTGATAGCTTCAGAAAACTTGTTCATTGTTGGTAGAAATGTATCCAATGGTCTGGTGATTATGTGGGAAAGTGAATAATGGTAGTTAAAGAGCACATTCTAAGGATTATTACTGCGTTTGATTTATTAAAATATTCCCATCCAAACCCAAGTAATTAAAGTAGAGGCATTACTTTTCATTCAACCCTCGTACATGCAATTTTCCAAGCCATGTCTGGCACTGAAGTAATTTGATACATTTTGTCAGTTTTGATCTGTACATAATGTTCTACTCCTAGTCGACAATGTGCTGCCACCTATAACACATTTTTCAATGTTTTTGTTTTGTTTTGCCTTTTGTCCCTTTTGGAAACAAGCTCCACATCTAAACACATAGATCACGTGAGACCCAAAAGCATTAGAGAACATCTTTGATCACTTTTCTTTCTCTACAGGATCCATACAGGAAATTACATTGAATGATTTGGAGACATCAGTATGTGCTGTTGAATGGCCTGACACAAAAAAAGAATTGAATTTGTGTGTCACAAGAAATACGTCAGAAGACACAAGTTGCACGGTAAATCACATTAATGGCTGAAAAATAAGTGAAGTGTATGAGATGTACTTCCTCTCTGTGTTATAACACAATACCATATTTTACAGAATTGTTATACTTCATTTAGCACTTATTGCCATGCACTCCATATACATTTCAGGGGAAAGTTACCCTAGTTCCAACAGACCTCACTACCTCTGAGGATGCTTGCCATAGATGCAGGCGAAATGTCAGGAGAGAATGCCTCTAGACCATGGCCATATAGCCCGAAAAAACCTACAACAACCCAGTGATTCCGGCCATGAAAGCCTTCGACAATACAGTTTGCAATAGTTAAATCAAATGAAATTATACATCTGCTTGTGGGCTCCTCCTGGTCTGTTTCCAGCTTTTTTGGTAATGGGGCTCTTCAAAACAGTTTAAAACTATTGCAAAACATGGCCATACAACCCGGAAAACTCGCAGCAACCCAGTGATTCCAGCCTTCAACAACATATTGCAAAATTAGTTTGAATTCAGTAACAGAGCAACCTTATACATAAAATCTATTGGCTAAGGAGCTTAAATGGGATATTAGATGATTTGTTGCTCTAGCACAGCATTTCTCAACTTGGGGGTTGGGACCCTTGGGGGGGTGTTGTGAGGGAGTTTCAGAGGAGTCGCCGAAGACCACCAGAAAACATATATTTCTGATGGTCTTACGAACCCCTTTAGCTGCGAAGGCTGAAGATCTCTCTGCCTGTCCTTCTCTTCCTTTTTGGAAACTAAGATCCACCGGGGAGGCCCTCCTCTCACTCCCACCACTGTCTCAAGCCCGGTTGGTGGGGAGGAGGGAGAGGGCCTCCTCGGTGGTGGCCCCCTGCCTCTGGAATGCCCTCCCCAAGGAGATAAGGCTGGCCCCATCCCTCACCTCCTTCCGTAAAAACTTGAAGACTTGGTTTTATCAGGCCTTCAATAACTGCGCCCGTACCTTGGGAAGTCTGACTTGGCCACGGTAGTCCACGCTCTGGTTACATCCCGTCTAGACTACTGCAACGCTCTCTACGTGGGGTTGCCTTTGAAGACGGCTCGGAAGCTCCAGCTAGTCCAACGCTCAGCAGCCATGATACTAACAGGAGCGGAGCGCAGGGAGCATACCACTCCTCTGCTGCACCAGCTCCACTGGCTGCCGATTTGCTACCGGGCTCAATTCAAAGTGCTGGCGTTGGCCTATAAAGCCCTAAATGGTTCTGGCCCAAGTTACCTATCCGAACGTATCTCTGCCTATCAGCCCGCCAGGACCCTAAGATCTTCTGGGAAGGCCCTGCTCTCTATCCCACCTGCTTCACAGGTGCGGCTGGCGGGGACGAGAAACAGGGCCTTTTCTGTGGTGGCCCCCCGGCTGTGGAACGCCCTTCCTATGGAGGTAAGATCAGCCCCCTCGCTAATGGTGTTCCGAAGAAGATTAAAAACTTGGATGTTTGAACGGCATTCGGTTAAACAGTGCAATGAATGTGATGATTACAGGAATGGAAATTTGGACGACGGATTGGATCACGACTCTAGTTATGAGATGCATTGTGTTGTCTATTGTTGTGTCAATATTGTATATTATGCTTTTATGGTTTTAAATTGTATATCGTTGATTGATTCTTATCCTTGTTGTAAACCGCGTTGAGTCGCCTGTTGGGCTGAGAAACTGCGGTATACAAGTAAAGTAAATAAATAAATAAATAAATAATGACTAGTCTCAAGTCTCAAGCCCTTGGTCCAACAGATAGGACTTGGCCTTGTACCCCATCCATTCCCCAGATCCCTGTCATCTGAGGGCACCTTTTCTTCCAGCCCAGACCTTTTTATAGTCCTTTAATTGGCCCTGGAATTGAATGGCCCCAGTCCACTCCATAATAAACATTTATTTCTGAGACTCCAAGCGGGGAGAGGAGAGCAAAAGGCCACCTTACTGGGATCTGCACACATTATTCGTTGATACATCACACAGTCCTAGACACTTGGGAAGTGTCCAACGTGTGATCCAATACAACAGCCAGCAGAGTCATCTTGTTTGCTGTGGACTCATCTTGTTGTGTTTCAAATAATAATAATAATAATAATAATAATAATAGTTTTAGGCTCCCCCTCAGGTATCTCATTCCATAACTGAGTCTTAATATCTCTCTCTCCTTCTGTTACAGGTGCCTGTTGGCAGTCCTGTGATCTGTCATAACCCACGCAATGGGCAATGGGAAGCCATGGGCATCGTGACCCAGAGCTTGGAGAACTGCACAGCTCCTATCCTGGCTTCCCAGCTTCTATCTCATCTGAAGTGGTTGAAGAAAGAAGGGGCAATAGAGGATACTGATACTGAGGCACCGTCTCCTGTACCAGAACAAGTATCATATTTGACATCTGCACCAACTCTAAAAGCATATGTAGTTAAGCACGTCTCTTTAAAACCATCAACACCACCAGCAAAGCCTTCCTCCACGGCCAATAATGTAATTCTTATAGCACCCTCCACAGCCCAAAAATTATCACACGAAACACCAAAAGTAATGCATTATGTTCTCCAAACTACAAATCCACTTACAGCTACTACTCAATCATCTACAACAGTCAAAGAAACACCTGAAGTTCCCCCCACAACTATTCTGCAAACATCAACAGCAGCACAACAGTTATTTGTAACATCCACAACAGCACAACAGTTATTTGTAACATCCACAACAGCACAACAGTTATTTGTAACATCCACAACAGCACAACAGCCATCTACAACACAAACATCAGTATCAATAGCCTCTTCGACACCCAAACAAGCAACTGTAAAAACCCCAACCTTCAAACCACCACATGTGATAATAATACCTGCGACCACGCCAAGAACAACATCCCCCATGCCTACAACTGATGTTAATCGTGGTGCACCTGTTAGTTTTGTTGTTGCGGCTTCCCGGTTCACCAGGGTCAAGAGAGAAGAAAGCCGATCCACCGATCCTACACCGGCGTTACGTGTCCCACCCGTAATTCCCCATTTGGGACTCCCGGTGCAAGTGAAGTCAAAGCAGTGTGAGATAGGACTGGCGTGGAACAGTGACTCTCATACCTACCAACTCAGCAAGATGGCCATTCTGATTGATCGCAAAGTTGGTGAGTGTTTAGCCAAGACGTTCACATTTCAAAATATGGGGTTTCCCATTTTACCAGTCCCTCCTCACTCTCCATTCCACCACTATTTATTTACGGTATATACTCGAGTATAAGCCTAGTTTTTCAGCCCTTTCTTTAGGCTGAAAAAGTCCCCCTCGGCTTATACTCGAGTCAAGGTTATTTATTATTTTACTCTATTATTATTATTATTATTATTATTATTATTATTATTATTATTATTATTATTTTCATTTCATTTATTATTTTACTCTATTATTATTATTATTATTATTATTATTTTCATTTCATTTATTATTTTATTCTATTTATTATTATTATTATTTTCATTTCATTTATTATTTTATTCTATTTATTATTATTATTATTATTATTATTATTATTATTATTATTATTTAGAGTTTTTATAACCCGGTCTTCTCAACCTCCGGAGAGGGACACAGGCTGGCTAACAACAAAGGATTCAGTACAATAAGATAAAGCAAATATACATCATCAATATAAAATACATTAAAATACAATTCATACCATTTACAAAAAAGTCAGTTCGTCAGAGTGAAATCCCGAATTACAAATTCACCGCCATCCGCCAGTAGGTCAACAGTTATTGACTCAGTCATCAATCTGCAAATGCAGTGTCCCAAAGCCATGATTTTACCAGCTTTCTAAAAGTTAGGAGGGAAGAGGCAGATCTAATCTCCATCGGGAGGGAGTTCCAGAGCCGAGGGGCCACCACCGAGAAGGCCCTGTCCTCGTTCCCACCAGACGCGATTGCGAGGGTGGTGGGACCGAAAGCAGGGCCCCTCCAGAAGATCTTAACAACCTTGATGGTTCATAGGGGAGAATCCATTCGGACAGGTAAATTGGGCCGGAACTGTTTAGGGATTTATAGGTCAACACCAGCACTTTGAATTGTGCTCGGAAGCTGATTGGCAGGCAGTGGAGCTGATGCAACAGAGGAGTAGTATGCTCCCTGTACCCCGCTCCTGTTAGTAGTCTGGCTGCCGCTCATTGGACTAGTTGTAGCATCCGGGCAGTCTTCAGAGGCAACCCCACGTAGAGAGCGTTGCAGTAGTCTATACGGGATGTAACCAGAGCGTGTACCACCGTGGCCAAGTCATTATTATTATTACATTTATCATTTTACTCTATTATTATGCATTTATTATTTTACTGTATAATTGTTGTTATTGCTACATTCATTATTTTACTCTTTTTATTATTGTTGTTATTATTACATTTATTATGTTACTCTCTCTATTATTATTGGAAGGATACGTAAGCACATTTCCATTGAAGAAGGTAAATAATCATTTAATCAGAGTTGGACAGTCTTAACTTAAATTATCATTTTCGTAAATATTCAAAAATATATAACCTACTGATTTCTCAGTTAATGTAATTTAATTGGCATCTATTTTTATTTTGCAATTTACCAGTAGGTGCTGCATTTCCCGCCTTTGGCTTATACTTGAGCCAATCCGTTTTCTTGGTCTTTTGTGGTAAAATTAGGTGCCTCGGCTTATATTTGGGTTGGCTTATATTCGAGTGTATACGGGTATTTATTTATGTATTTAAAACATTTATATTCCTCCCTTCTCACCCCGAAAGGGACTCAGGGCAGAGCACAGCATATATACGGCAAACATTCAATGCTGGGACAAGAGTTCATATACGCATACATAAACATTAAAAATATTTATCTCAATATTAAAATACACCATTTTAAACCGTCCTGGTAATCTGTGTCAAATCTAATTGGCCTGGTAATCTTTCCTATTGCTGCTTTATTGCCCTGTCCTGAAAGCTTGGTCACACAGCCAAGTTTTTCACCATCCTTCTGAAGGACAGGAGGGAGGAGGCCGATCAGATCTCGACAGGAAGGGAGTTCCATAGCTGGGGGCCATCACCGAGAAGGCCTTGTCTCTCGTCCCCATCAATCATGCCTGTGACAATGGCGGGATGAAGAACAGGGCCTCCCCGGAGGATTTTAATCTCCGCGATGATTCATAGGGAGAGATGCGTTCAGACAGGCAAATTGGGCCAGGGCCGTTCAGGACTTTATGATGAAGCTGGGTGACATCTGCTCGGACCTCTGGCCTTTGACCTGTGGGGTCCCGCAAGGTTCCATTCTGTCCCCCATACTTTTCAACATCTACATGAAACCGCTGGGAGAGGTCATCTGGAGTTTTGGAGTTGGGTGCCATCTCTACTACTCTCTTCCACCTAACTCCAAGGAAGCCCCTTGGTGCTGGACGGGTGCCTGGCCACTGTGGTTGTCTGGATGAGGAGAAGCAAGGTGATGATCAATCCTGACAAGACAGAGGTCCTCCTGGTCGATCATAAGCTGGATTGGGGTATAGGGTGGCAACCTGTGCTGGACGGGGTTGCACTCCCCCTGAAGTCTCAGGTCCGCAGCCTGGTTGTCCTCCTGGATTCATCACTTACGTTTGAAGCTCAGGCGTCGGCGGTGGCCGGGAGGGCCTTCGCACAATTAAGACTCATGCGCCAGCTGTGACCGTACCTCGTGAAGTCGGATCTGGCCAGGGTGGTCCATGCTTTAGTCACCTCCAGATTGGATTGCTGTAATGCACTCTATGTGGGGCTGCCCTTGAAAACGGCCTGGAAATTTCAATTGGTACAACGGGCGGCAGCCAGGTTACTAACTGGTGCTTCTTACAGAGAGCGGTCAGCCCTCCTGTTTAAGGAGCTCCACTGGCTGCCGTTCATTTCCCGATCCCAATTCAAAGTGCAGGTTTTGACCTACAAAGCCCTGAACGGTTTGGGACCTGCCTACCTGCGTGACCGCATTTCTGTGTACGAACCCACACGATCTCTCCATTCATCTGGAGAGGCCCTGCTCACACTCCCACCTACTTCGCGGGCGCGATTGGTGGGAACGAGGGAGAGGGCCTTCTCGGTGATTGCCCCCCGATTCTGGAACTCACTTCCCAGGGACATCAGACATGCTCCAACTCTGGCAGTCTTTAGGAGGAGCTTGAAAACGTAGTTGTTCCAATGTGCCATCCCAGAATAAGGAAAACCCTCAGCAATACGCCCTCAAAATGCACTTTATTACTGATTTAGGATTGACTGCGTTCCCTCATAATGATATCGAGCTGCTTTTAGCAGGGTCCCCTCAAGAGAGAAGGACCCGAGGACCACGTCAAAAGGGCCCTGGATACCTTGGTGAGGCCAGGAAAATTGCCAATCCATAATAAAAGATAACGATAATAATACCCCACCAGGCGGAAGAAGTAGAGATATCGGTTCAGCTGATATCGGATGCATTGCAGGAATCATTCCACTGCAAGCATGCCAGTACAAAGAATACAGACATATTTATAGTAAAAATACAAAGGAAAACTTTCAAAATTCCCGCCTGCCCCTTGCCGGCCGGCTTCACGCTGATTGGCTGAGGCTGGAACAGCTGGGAGGAGGCTGGGCGGCCCGCACCTGCTCTGGACCAATCAGCGCGTTTCTTCGCCTCTAGAGGACCAATGAGCGCCCTCCGCTCGCCTCGCAAGATGGACAAATCAGGAGAGAAAAGGTGGTACGGCCGTGAACAATGGAGGGGGGAAATGATGGGATTAGGAGTTGCCAGCAAGCCTTTGTCTCAGGCCGGCAAGGTGTGATCTTTGTAAACAAAAGTCTTCCTGTTTGAAATGGCTTTGGGGGAAAGACAATATTGGGTCAGACAGTGGACCTCAAAAGGGATCAACGCTGCCTTTGTGAATTTAATCAATTCTTTTTTCCAGGTTTCTGTTGATTTCCTCTTCCCACTAGACAGGCTCAGAAGGCGGGAAGGGGGAATCAACAGTTATTGTTTCATGCAATGAGTCAATCAGGGAAGAGCTTCGGGGGAAGCAGAGAGTTTCCCCCCGAGCATTGCAACAACTTCTGGTCACCTTTTTGTGGGGTAAAGGTCAATAGGAAAGGCAGGGGAGCATATTACATTTCATACGATACACTTTTATACATAGTTCATAAGGGGAACCCCATCCCACCCCATAAGGTTTGTTTCAATATTCGATCTTTATTATAACCCAAACTGGAAATCCCATGCTCTTGGGAAAGGCGCGTGGAAACGGAGGTTGCTAGCAGTTCAAATCAAGCATTGATAGAAAGTTCGTGGCCAGGGTTGTGGCAAACAGTCCAGTCCACGCAGCAGAGAGTCATGGTTTCAGGCAGAAGCCAGCAGATGGGCGCTGAGTTAATCAATAACAGAATCCATCGCTCAGCCCTTGGGGAACTACAACTCTCACAAAAGGGCAGAAGTCCCAAGATCCAGCCATTTCCCAAAAAGCCTCATGGGGTCCTTGTTGTTGTCAGTGCCTTGGCAATGTGGCCAAGACTTAACCCTTGTTGTGTAGTCTGGTGCCCTTGCCCTTTGCAGAACTATAAGTCCTTATCCCTTAATTTTGAGGGGGGGAGGGGGTGGTGCCTGACATCAATTTCTCTCGGGAAATCCTATCCCAGTTATATCCTACCTTGTTCATGTCAGCATTCTTTTTTAACTTTAATCTTTTACATTTGGCCCGGCCATTGATTTTAAATGCTTTTACGTCACTGTTGTTTATTGCTTATTTTTGTTTATGTGCTTTATATGATTTGTATTGTATTGTTTGCTTATCATGTTTTGTTTTTTGATGTTTGTTTATTGATGTTTTGTGGGCCTGGCCTCATGTAAGCTGCACCGAGTCCCTTGGGGAGATGGTAGTGGGGTACAAATAAAATTATTATTATTATTATTATTATTATTATTATTATTATTATTATTGGCCAAAGCCAGCCCGTTAAATTGTGCCCGGTAGCAAACAGGCAGCCAGTGGAGCTGGCGTAACATGGGAGTTATACGCTCCCTGTATGCCGCCCCAGTTATTAACCTGGCTGCCTCTCGTTGGACTATTTGAAGCTTCTAAGCACCGTGGCCAAGTCTGGCTTCACAAGGTACGGGCGCAGCTGTACCTTATTCTAGCGCTCCGGCACAGAATAAGCATAACTAAATAACCTCACTTCAGACTTTTTTCAGAGAATCTGAGGTCTGAAGGCCAACAAATCCCATTTGTAATGTTTCGATCTTTCTCCGTAGGGTGTGGGCTGAGGCCTGGATTTGTGCCAAAGTGTCCAAGCTGCTCTGAGGCTGAAATGGGCGAATTTCCCTGGATTGTTTCTCTCAGCCTATCCATCCAACACTTTTGTGCTGGCTCCATTCTCAACCGTTGGTGGATTTTAACCACAGCCAACTGTGCCAATCTTATGTGAGTGCCTTATTCTTTCTTATTCAGTTCAGGTTTGGGTGCTTTGTCTCTGTGCCTTAGAATAGTTTTAGATGGTACATGGCATTGTTTGGAATCTACTTCCTCCATTCAAATGATTACAGAGGATGCTTGCCATAGATGCAGGCGAAACGTCAGGAGAAATGTCTCTAGAACATGGCCCTATAGCCCGAAAAAACCCCAAGAACCTAGTGATTCCAGCCATGAAAGCCTTCGACAATACAATAAAAATGTAATTGAGTTGTTGTAGGTTTTCCGGGCTATATGGCCATGTTCTAGAGGCATTTCTCCTGACGTTTCGCCTGCATCTATGGCAAGCATCCTCACTACTTCTGAGGATGCTTGCCATAGATGCAGGTGAAACATCAGGAGAAATGCCTCTAGAACATGGCCCTATAGCCCAAAAAAACCCACAAGAACCTAGTGATTCCAGCCATGAAAGCCTTCGACAATACAATAAAAATGTAATTGAGTTGTTGTAGGTTTTCCGGGATATATGGCCATGTTCTAGAGGCATTTTCTCCTGACGTTTCTCCTGCATCTATGGCAAGCATCCTCAGAGGTAGTGAGGTCTGTTGGAAGTAGGAAAATGGGTTTTTATATCTGTGGAAAGACCAGGGTGGGACAAAGGACTTTTGTCTGCTGGAGCTAGGTGTGAATGTTTCAACTGACCACCTTGATTAGCATTTAATGGCTTGAAAGTGCCTGGAGCAATCTTTTGTTGAGAATGATTCCAATAGTAGAAAAATGTTGTGAAATTACAAGATAAGTTTAAGTGGAAGTCTGCAGCTCAGTGCTTCAGCTATGTGAACAGTGCACTGATCTTCTTACACAAAATTGCCGCTTGAGATTACAAACGAACATAAGAACCTTTCAGCTCAAAATATGCCTGTTCAAAAATTCATGTGATTATTAAAACCTTTGAAACATAAAGCCCCAGGTACAGATGGTTCCAGATAACGTCAATATTGATAGATTTATTTTATTCATTAAATTCTATTTTGGATGGGAATCAGTAAGACAATAAATCAGTATGTTTGCCATCAGTAGCCAAACTCACCTGTGCTTTAGTGCAAGAAAGTAATTCATATTGTTGCTTTAACTATTTTGGGGATAGAGTGGTGAAAGGGGGAAGAGAATTGGGACAGGTGGACAAATGTCAGCGTGCTGGAAGAAGCAAAGAGCACCAGCATTGAAGCAATGGTCCTCCGCCATCAACTCCGCTGCACCGGCCATGTTGTCCGGATGCCTGACCACCGTCTCCCAAAGAAGTTGCTCTACTCTGAACTCAAGAACGGAAAACAGAATGTTGGTGGGCAGGAAAAGAGATTTAAAGATGGGCTCGAAGCCAACTTTAAAAACTCTGGCGTAGACACTGAGAACTGGGAAGCCCTGGCCCTTGAGCACTCCAGCTGGAGGTCAGCTGTGACTAGCAGTGCTGCAGAATTTGAAGAGGCACAAATTGAGGGCGAAATGGCAAAACGTGCACATCAAGCCAACCCTGACCCGGACCGCCTTCCATCTGGAAACCGATGTCCTCACTGTTGGAGAACATGCGGATCAAGAATAGGGCTCCACAGCCACCTACGGCTCCAGCAAAGGATCACCGCCTTGTCGGGGTGCTGGAGCTTGAGCACCTCAATGATGTCATGAGCGAAACCGTGAAGGGCCACCCAAGATGAGACGGTTGTGGCAGAGAGGTCAGACCAAGCGTGATCCCTGGGGAAGGCAATGGCAAACCACTCCAGTATCCTTGCCAAGAAAACTAAATGGACCAGTACAACCAGAGATATGTCGGTATGCTATTGGAAGATGGGACTCCCAGGTCGGAAGATGGCCAAAATGCTACTGGGGAGGAGCAGAGGATAAGTTCAACTAGCCCCAGATGTGATGACGCAGCTAGCTCAAAGCCGAAAGGAAGGCTAGCGGCCGACGGTACTGGAGGTGAACGACGAATCCGATGCTCTAAAGATCAACACACCATAGGGAACCTGGAATGTAAGATCTATGAGCCAGGGCAAATTGGATGTTGTTATTGGTGAGATGTCAAGACTAAAGATAGACATTCTGGGGGTCAGCGAACTGAAATGGACTGGAATGGGCCACTTCACATCAGATGACCACCAGATCTACTACTGCGGACACAAGAGGAACATCGAAGAAATGGAGTAGCCTTCATAATTAATAAGAAATTCGCTAAAGCGGTGCTTGGATACAACCCAAAAAATGACAGAATGATCTCAATTCGAGTGCAAGGAAAGCCTTTCAACATTACAGTGATCCAAATATACGCCCCAACCACAGCTGCTGAAGAAGCAGAAGTAGATCAGTTCTATGAGGATCTGCAGGACCTACTGGATAATACACCAAAAAGAGACATTATTTTCATTACAGGAGACTGGAATGCCAAGCGTGGGAAGTCAAATGACAACTGGGATCACAGGCAAGCATGGTCTGGGAGAACAAAATGAAGCGGGACGCAGGCTGATAGAATTTTGCCAGGAAAACTCGCTGTGTATAACGAATACTCTCTTCCAACAACCTAAAAGACGGCTTTATACATGGACCTCACCAGATGGTCAACACCCTAATCAGATTGACTACATCCTTTGCAGCCAAAGGTGGCGGACATCCATCCAGTCGGTGAAAACAAGACCTGGGGCTGACTGTAGCTCAGATCACGAACTTCTTATTGCTCAATTTAGAATAAAACTAAAGAGATCAGGGAAAATACACAGACCAGTTAGATATGATCTCACTAACATTCCTAGCGAATATACAGTGGAAGTGAAGAACAGATTTGAAGGACTAGATTTAGTAAACAGAGTCCCAGAAGAACTATGGACAGAAGTCCGCAACATTGTTCAGGAGACGGCAACAAAGTACGTTCCAAAGAAAAAGAAAACCAAGAAGGCAAAATGGTTGTCTGCTGAGACACTGGAAGTAGCCCAAGAAAGGAGGAAAGCAAAAGGAAACAGTGATAAGGGGAGATATGCCCAGTTAAATGCGCAATTCCAGAGGTTAGCCAGAAGAGATAAGGAACTATTTTTAAATAAGCAATGCATGGAAGTGGAAGAAGACAACAGAATAGGAAGGACAAGAGACCTCTTCCAGAAAATTAGAAACATTGGAGGTAAATTTCAGGCAAAAATTGGTATGATAAGAAACAAAGATGGCAGGGACCTAACAGAAGCTGAAGAGATCAAGAGAAGGTGGCGAGACGATACAGAAGATCTGTATAGGAAGGATAATAATATTGAGGATAGTTTTGACGGTGTGGTGAATGAATTAGAACCAGACATCCTGAGGAGTGAGGTTGAATGGGCCTTAAGAAGCATTGCTAACAACAAGGCAGCAGGAGACGACGGGATCCCAGCTGAACTGTTTAAAATCTTAAAAGATGATGCTGTCAAGGTGATGCATGCCATATGCCAGCAAATATGGAAAGCACAAGAATGGCCATCAGACTGGAAAAAATCAACTTATATCCCCATACCAAAAAAGGGAAATGCCAAAGACTGCTCAAACTTCCGTACAGTGGCCCTTATTTCTCATGCCAGTAAGGTAATGCTCAAGATCCTGCAAGGAAGACTCCAGCAATACATGGAGCGAGAGTTGCCAGATGTTCAAGCTGGGTTTAGAAAAGGCAGAGGAACGAGAGACCAGATTGCCAATATCCGCTGGATAATGGAGAATGGCAGGGAGTTTCAGAAAAACATCTATTTCTGCTTCATTGACTATTCTAAAGCCTTTGACTGTGTGGATCATAATAAACTGTGGCAAGTTCTTGGTGGGATGGGCATCCCAAGCCACCTTGTCTCTCTCCTGAGGAATCTGTACAAGGACCAAGTAGCAACAGTCAGAACTGACCACGGAACAACAGACTGGTTCAAGATTGGGAAAGGCGTACGGCAAGGCTGCATCCTCTCACCCAACCTTTTTAACTTGTATGCAGACCACATCATGCGATGTGCGGGGCTTGATGAATGCAAGGTTGGGGTGAAAATTGCTGGAAGAAACATTAACAACCTCAGATATGCAGATGACACCACTCTGAGGGCCGAAAGCGAGGAGGAGCTGAGGAGCCTTCTAATCAAGGTGAAAGAAGAAAGCGCAAAAGCCGGGTTGCAGCTAAACGTCAAAAAAACCAAGATTATGGCAACAAGAATGATTGACAACTGGAAAATAGAGTGAGAAACCGTGGAGGCCGTGACAGACTTTGTATTTCTAGGTGCAAAGATTACTGCAGATGCAGACTGTAGCCAGGAAATCAGAAGACGCTTACTTCTTGGGAGGAGAGCAATGTCCAGTCTCGATAAAATAAGTAGAGACATTCCCTGTAGTACCCTACGGATGTGAGAGCTGGACCTTAGGGAAGGCTGAGCGAAGGAAGATAGATGCTTTTGAACTGTGGTGTTGGAGGAAAGTTCTGAGAGTGCCTTGGACGCCAGAAGATCCAACCAGTCCATACGTCAGAAAATAAAGCCAACTGCTCATTGGAGGGAAGGATATTAGAGGCAAAGATGAAGTATTTTGGCCACGTAATGAGAAGACAGGAAAGCTTAGAGAAGACAATTATGCTGGGGAAAATGGAAGGAAAAAGGAAGAGGGCCGACCAAGGGCAAGATGGGTGGATGGCATCCTTGAAGTGACTGGACTGACCTTGAAGGAGCTGGGGGTGGTGACGGCCGACAGGGAGCTCTGGCGTGAGCTGGTCCATGAGGTCACGAAGAGTCGACTGAACGAAGGAACAACAACAACCTTCAATCCACCAAAACATTCAGAGCTTCACCAATGATGGAGACCATCAATAGCCTCGCGCTAGCGAGTGGAGTTTTGCCCTAACACAACACAGATTGGGACTGTGTTATCAACCGAATAAGTTGTGTTATGCGAAAACAGCAGCCCCAAGTTCCAAACCCTATAATATTTCAGCCACCCTTCTTTTTGTCGCCAAGCAAAATACCCAAGCAGCGCTCCCCTTATCCTTCCCCTGATATTCTCATACCCGTGCTGCCCGTACCTGCAAATCTGCATACAGTACTTTGGTGCTATCCGTTGTTGAGGTCTGTGCCCAGTGTGAATCCGTATAAGAGTTATTAGCTAGGTTTCACGATGATCATACGATTATATTATTATTATTATTATTAGTCTAGTTATTTCGTACATATTATTTACTTTACTTATTCCGACTTAGCTGTATATATTTTCGTAATATTAGCTACTTTCGCTTATTTGCTTTCTTGTGTGTGGTGTGGTTAAGATAATCAAACTTTTATTAAAATAAAACACAGGGCAGAAAATGATTAATCATAGAAATTCATAGAGTTGGAAGAGACCTTGTGGGCCATCCAGTCCAACCCCCTGCCAAGAAACAGGAAAATCGCATTCAAATCACCCCCCAACAGATGGCCATCCAGCCTCTGTTTAAAAGCTTCCAAAGAAGGCACCTCCAACACACTCTGGGGCAGAGAGTTCCACTCCTGAACAGCTCGCACAGTCAGGAAGTTCTTCCTAATGTTTAGATGGAATCTCCTTTCATGTAGTTTGAAGCCATTGTTCTGCTTCTTAGTCTCCAGGGCAGCAGAAAACAAGCTTGCTCCCTCCTCCCTGTGGCTTCCTCTCACATATTTATACATGGCTATCATGTCTCCTCTCAGCCTTCTCTTCTTCAGGCTAAACATGTCCAGCTCTTTAAGCCGCTCCTCATTGGGCTTGTTCTCCAGACCCTTGATCATTTTAGTCATCCCCCTCTGGACACATTCCAGCTTGTCAACATCTCTCTTCAACTGTGGTGCCCGGAACTGGACACAACATTCGAGGTATGGTCTAACCAAGGCAGAATAGAGGGGTAGCATGACTTCCCAGGATCTAGACACTGTGCTCCTATTGATGCAGGCCAAAATCCCATTGCATTTTTTTGCCACTGCATCACATTATTGGCTCATATCTAATTTGTTGTCCACGAGGACTCCAAGATCTTTTTTGGAGTGATGGTCACTCCTTGGGTTAGTTGGTGTCTTGTGGCCAAATTTGGCGGCAATTCGTCCAATGGGTTTTGAGTTATGTTAATCCCACAAACGAACATTACATTTTTATTTATATAGATTGCTTTTAAATCATGCTATCAAGAGACCAACAAATAAGTAGTCTTTGTTGGAAGTAATATAGTTGATTTACTTACAAACTTCATGTATTCAGCATACAGGTACATTTCCTATTGGTTGAGAGTTTAAACAGTAAATTCTCTAAAGCATTCTGTTTCAGTTTCTTTTTTGTTGCATACAGACTAACAGTCTCTTCAGTCTAATACATTACTGAATATTAACTCAATACAGACTGACTACACACTGCAGCATACTGTCACCACTGACTTCTAAACTGTACTGTTTCTGATGCAAAACTGACTTCTAAAATGGAGTCTCAGTCTGAATAGTCCCAGATCTGGTCACATGGTCTGTAGTCCCTCCCACAACCTCAAACAACATAGAGTTAAGGGGAAACTGCATATCAAAATATACATACAATATAGTAAGCAAGGAGCCCCCATTGGCACAGTTGGTCAAAGCACTGAGCTGCTGATCTTGTTGACCTAAAGATCGCAGGTTCGAATCCAGGGAGCGGCATGAACTCCCGCTGTCAGCCCCAGCTTCTGCCAACCTAGCAGTTCGAAAACATGCAAATGTGAGTAGATCAATAGATACCACTCTGGCGGGAAGATAAGGGCGCTCCATGCAGTCATGCCAACCACATGACCTTGGAGGTGTCTACGGACAATGCCGGCTCTTCGGCTTAGAAATTGAGATGAGCACCACCCCCCAGAGTTAGACACGACTGGACCTAATGTCAGGGGAAAACCTTTACATTACTTACTTTATAGTAAGCAATCTCAATTATATACATAACAAATAACAAATGGGAGGCTTGTAGAAGGTTGCTATTTCCAACAGAAATCTGCAATGTTAAGGAAATTAAGTGAATAACATTCTGTTTGTACTATGAAATGGTTACTGAAATTGACATTATTCTACCTGTGTATACATTAAAAAATAAAATATTTTGAAAAAGAGAGAGAAAAATAAGCTCAAAACTTATTACAGACATCGTTGTACGTATGTAACTAGTAACTACTGTACATATTTTAAAATAAAATTTATTTTCTTGTGTCTCAGAAGCAATTCAAGTTATTACATTTAGTTAGTTTTCAAAATATATGGGGCCAGCCTATAACGCAACACATTTAAGGTTATGGTTTTATATTATACTAGCTGTACCTGCCACACGTTGCTGTGGCCAACCTTCCATCCTCTTTCTCTCCTTCTTTCCTTCCTTCCTTCRCTCTGTTTCTTTCTTTCCTTCCTTCCCTTTTCTTTTTTCCTTCTCACCTTCCTTCTCTACCTCTTTCCTTCTTTCCCCCTTTTCTTAACTTCTTCTTTCTSTCCATCCTTCCTTCGCTCTTTCTTTCTTTCTTTCTTTCTTTCTTTCTCCCCTCCCTTCCCTTTTTCTGTATCGTCATTTAGCTTTTCGTCATTTAGATTTTTTGGGTTTTTAAGTACTTTCTGCTGGTTTGGGGGGGGGGGCGGTTTATGAGTGATGGTCACTCATTGGTCTGTTACGGGTATAATGTCCAAATTTGGTGTCAATTTGTCCAATGGTTTTTGAGTTATGTTAATCCCACAAACGAACATTAGATTTTGATTTATATAGATTATCGTATACTACATTATTGTAATTATTTATTATTTACAATTTTTTATTTATATAGATTATTATATCAAATATTGTATTCTACATCATTATTGAATTATTAAGTATTATTAGACCAAAGATTTCATTTTATACTAAGTAAAGGCAAAGATTTTCCCTTGACATTAAGTCTATTATTATTATTATTATTATTATTATTATTATTATTATCATCGTTATTCAAACCCAGAAGTAAGAGTTCGGCTTATATTTGGGTCGGCTTATACTCGAGTATATACGGTAACTAAAACGATTTCAGTGACAGTAAGAGGCGTGAGATTACCATTTGGTACATTAGCAATTATACTCTAATTTTATAGGGAAAAGGAACTAATTACAAACAAGTTACTTGTATGCATTTTCCCAAGCTGTGGCTGCTTTCGGTGTTCTTTTAGGATCAAAAGGCAGAATAAACATTAAAATAAAAATACAGTATGTAGAACAAAGTGCTTAAAGGCCAATTTCTCCAGTCAGCGATTGTTAAAAGTATGCAATATCCTGCTTATCCATTTCATATCACTGTGTCTCTGTTTCAGAAAGAATTCGGAGGCTTTGGCGCTGGTACAGGTTGGACTGATAGATGTCTCTAAGCCGACGCGCTCAGTTCAGATCCGCCAGGCTCTGACACACCCCAAGTCATTGGAACAGGGAGATCTTCACAACCTGGGACTTTTGGAACTGGAGAAGCCGCTGGATTTTGGGCCTCTTGTTTCACCTATTTGTATCTCAGGAAAAGCAGATATGATGGGTGATTTCAGAGACTGTTGGCTACCAGGCTGGACTGTGCTAGAGGGTGAGTTGTATCAGATAGCTGTTTGATTTCACTTCCTGGTTAATCTAGACACAGTATTTTCCCTCAGTTTGTGTTGCAGTGTGATCTGGATGACATAGATTATTTTATTTTATTTTTATATTGCCTTTCTCATCCCGCAGGTGACTCATGGCAGTTTACAGGGTAAAATTCAATGCATACAATATCATAAATACAATTAAAACATTGTTGTTGTTCATTCGTTCAGTCGTCTCTGACTCTTCGTGACCTCATGGACCAGCCCATGCCAGAGCTCCTTGTCGGCGGTCACCACCCCCAGCTCCTTCAAGGTCAGTCCAGTCACTTCAAGGATCCCATCCATCCATCTTGCCCTTGGTTGGCCCTTCTTCCTTTTTCCTTCCATTTTCCCCAGCATCATTGTCTTCTCTAAGCTTTCCTGACTTCTCATTATGTGGCCAAAGTACTTCAACTTTGTCTCTAGTATCCTTCCCTCCAATGAGCAGTCGGGCTTTATTTTCTGAAGTATGGACTGGTTGGATGCTCTCGCAGTCCAAGGCACTCTCAGCACTTTCCTCCAACACCACAGTTCAAAAGCATCAATCTTCCTTCGCTCAGCCTTCCCTAAGGTCCAGCTCTCACATCCGTAGGTTACTACAGGGAATACCATGGCTTTGACTAGGCGGATCTTTGTTGCCAGCGTGATGTCTCTACTCTTTACTATTTTATCGAGATTGGACATTAAAACATTACATATAATAAAAACGAAACAGAATCAATCTATTCAAATAAAAATGTAATGTTCATTTGTGGGATTAACAGAACTCAAAAACCACTGGATGAATTGACACCAAATTTGGACAGAATACACCTAACAACCCAATCAATGTATGTCTTTCACTCGAAAAAAATTTATTTTTGTCATTTAGGAGTTGTAGTTGCTGGGATTTATAGTTCACCTACAATCAAAGAGCATTCTGAACCCCACCAATGATAGAACTGAACCAAACTTGGCATACAGTTCTCCCAATGACCAACAGAAAATACTGGAAGGGTTTGGTGGGCAGTGTCCTTTGGTTTTGGAGTTGTAGTTCACCTACATCCAGAGATCACTGTGGACTCAAACAATGATGGATCAGGACCAAACTCTACATGAATACCTAATATGCCCAAATGTGAACACTGGTGGAGTTTGGGGAAAATAGAATCTTGACATTCGGGAGTTGTAGTTGCTGGAATTTATAGTTCACCTACAATCAAATAACATTCTGAACCCCATCAACAATAGAATTGGGCCAAACCTCCCACACAGAACCCCATGTGGGCCACAGCAACGCGTGGCAGGGGACGGCTAGTAAAATATAAATCCATAGTATCTCCTTGTTAAAAACGTTGTCCGGTCTCATTGTCTAGTCATTCCATTGTCCTATGTCAATTACTCTGCATTTGCAAACGTTTGCTCAAAAAGCCATGTCTTGACTTTTTTCCGGAATGTTAAAAGGGAGGTGGCCGATCTAATATCTATAGGGAGGGTGTTCCATAGCCGAGGGGCCACCATCGAGAAGGCCCTGTCACTCGTCTCTGCCAAACGTACCTGTGACGAAGATGGTAACAAGAGCAGCCCCCCCCCAACAATCTTAAAGCCCTAGATGGTTCATAAAGAGAGATGTGTTCGGATAGGTAACGAGATAACAAGATTACATATTATTGAGGTATTATTTGGGCAAGGAGTTAGATTAAATAGCTCGATTAGTTAGTTTTTCATTTCGGTGGTACTATAAGAATGATAGCATTAAGTAGGAGTTAGGTTCCCTGAGGCAAAGTTTAAATCAGTCATTCCCAACCAGTGGTCTGCAAAAACTAAAATATGGTCTGCAAAACCTTTAACATTTTAAACTTTTATTCATTTTAATGAATCTGTTGCTATGCAGGTGCCACTGGTGAGTAGGACGTTGGACGATCGATGTCACATGTCAAATACTCACGTCACCCAGTGTCAGTCAGTCACCTGCATTCTTTTGTGTTGCTCAGCTGTGTCAGTGATTCTCTTTTGCTGTTTAGTTATTCGACGACTCCAGTAGTTTTACTGACTGTGAGTCCTCAAAATCCGTATTAATTTTTGACTTATGTAATGATGATTGAAATTGTAGAGGTTGCAGATGAAATCCAGGAAGAGCTCATTGAAATGACAGAAACTGCAAGAATGCGTTTGAAACTGGTTCTCTTGAGTAGTTTTGGTGTAAAAAAAGCAATTTTTAATGCTAAAATTCTTATGCTCTTCTCCACAACTTATTTATGCGAACAAGAGTTTTCTGCTTTACTAATAATTAAAAACAAGTCCAGGAATCGATTGAAAGTTAAGTGATGATATGCATGTAATATTATAATTATTATAACAATAATATTAGCTTCAGGATTACCCAACTTGTAAAGAAGATGCAAGCTCAAAAATCACATTGATGCAAACCAAATTAAATTTTCTATTTTAAATGTTATTTTTTATATTATAACTAGCCGTCCCCTGCCATGTGTTACTGTGGCCATCTGTGTATATGTGTTTTGTGTGTGTATATATGTGTATATGTTTATGTGATGCATTATAATGTATTTATTTTTTGGTTTTTAAGTCTCTTCTGCTGTGTTTTTCAGTGTTTTTATGAGTGATGGTCACTTGTTGGCCTGAGAGTGAATTATGTCCAAATTTGGTGTCAATTTGTCCAGTGGTTTTTGAGTTATGTTAATCCCACAAACGAATATTACATTTTTTATTTATATAGATAATATTCTTAATTTATGTTACTATTAAGTTTAATGAATATGTTAAAAGTTTTGATTAAAGTTTATTTTTAGATAAACACCGTTTATTATTCTTGAACCTTGTGGTCCCTGCTAACAACAACAAAAAATCAAAGTGGTCCCTGGTAAAAAAAAAAAGTTGAGAACCACTGGTTTAAATTATATGAATTTTAAGAGTATTCTGCCTCTGGTGAAACTTCTGGCTTATTACAGTATTTCAGATGAGTTTCTGTTTTTAAGCTTTCCTTGGAACTGGAGCTACTCCTCACAGACTCATATCACACACTCCCACACCCAGAAAACAAGAGTTTTCTGCTTTACTAATAATTAAAAATAAGTCCAGGAATCGATTGAAAGTTAAGTAATGATACACATGTAGCTTTGCACAATAAAATTAGCCTTAGGATTACTCAACTTGTAAAGAAGATGCAAGTTCAAAAATCACATTGATGCAAACTGAATTTAATTTTCTATTTAAAATGTTCTTTTTATATTATAATAGTATTCCTAATTTATGTTACTATTAAGTTTAATAAATATGTCAAAGTTTATTTTTAGATAAACACCACTTATTATTCTTGAACCTTGTGGTCCCTGCTAACAACAAACAAATCAAAGTGGTCCCTGGTCAAAAAAAAAGTTGGGAACCATTGGTTTAAATTAACATATATTCCAGCATATAAGACGACTGGGCGTATAAGACGACCCCCAACTTTTCCAGTTAAAATATAGTTTGGGATATACTCACTGTATAAGACTACCTCTCTTCCAACACACACCAAATAAAATTTTTGAAAGCATCAGATTTGATTTCAATATGGTAATTTTCCTATTACTGTACCTCCTTCTCTGCCTCTCAGATCTCGCACACGTGCACCTGCACCACTTCACTGCAGTCTTCAGGAGTGAGATCTGAGAGGCAGAGGAGGAGGTACGGTAATAGGATACAAGGGCGGGCCAGACAGGTAAAAGAGTTGTGTTTTTCTGGGCCCAGAATCACTCTATATCTTTTTCCATACCCTGGGCACCCCGGATGTCTGCAGCTTGCTCTGCCCTTCACTTACATCTTCCCGGTGAGGCGCCCCTTCACCTCACCATCGGGACCACATTAAGTCCACAAATCCTGATGAGTGGATTTTCTTCTACCGTACTTGTACAGCGTCGCCCTTAACACCCTGACTTTTGAAAAGATTTTCTTGGGTTAAAAAGTAGTCTTATACATCAGAATATACGGTATATGAATTTTAAGAGTATTCTGCCTCTGACTAGCCTCTGGTGAAACTTCTGGCTTATTACAGTATTTCAGATGAGTTTCTGTTTTTAAGCATTCCTTGGAACTGGAGCTTCTCCCCACAGACTCATATCACACATTCCCACACCCATGCTTTCTTTTTCTAGCTTCAACTCTAATTTAGCCAGCTTGTGTTGGACCTTCGTGCCAACTCATTTGCTTTATACCAGTAGCTGTCAGCAGGGTTTGGAAAAATAACTTTGGAAGAGTCTGTAACTTCCATTATCCCCTTGAGTACATAAAAATACCTTATCCAAACTCTTTTTGACAGATTGTTTTCTATGCATCTTATTGCATTTCAAAATTACACAGCCCCCCCCCCCCCCCCCAATTTCTTGGGACCGTTCCTTGGGAGGCTGATTCAGAACATTGCATTGGATAGACCAATTCAGCTCTGGTTTCTTGGATATAGTTATCATGATTCCTTATGCGTGAGCAGATGGTGACTAGTAGATGGGATGTGTTTTGTATCTCAAACACTAGAGTTGAGAGAAGGAAACTGGTACAATTTTTTGGAATCAGCAGGTTAAATATACCCAGAAACAGGGCTAACATTTCAGGCACCAAACTGTGTGTTGCCTAGTGAGTACAGTGTGCAGCGGGCATAATCTGCAATCTAAACAGAGAATCTTTCTACACTGCCATATAATCCAACGTAGATAATCCATATTATCTACGTTGAACTGGATTATATGAATCAACACTGCTGTATAATCCAGTTCAAAGTAGGTAATCTTTGAACTGTGTGCAGCGGGCATAATCTGCAATCTAAAATTAGGACCTTTCTACACTGCCATATAATCCAAATCAGATAATCCATATTATCTGCATTGAACTGGATTATATGAATCCACATTGCCATATAATCCAGTTCAAAGCAGATAATCTGCTTTATATGGCAGTATAGAAGGGGCCTTAGATCAGCAGGCGTTGATTCTACCCGTTCTCTCCCTACTACAGGAGGTCCTACTGTACTATTGAGATATCACATAGACATCTTGAACATCAGCAGCTGCAACCAGCTGGAAGACACACTCTCCGGTGCCATCTTCTGTGTCAAGGCCCAAATGGGCAAAGAAGGGGTTTGCAAGGTAAGAGAAAGAAAGCTTGGCAGTGGCTCATGTCTATTATTCTATTTCAGTGCTGCCTGTAAACTGAATATGAGGTTATTTGTTTATTTATTTCAAATATTTGTACCCCGCCCTACTCTACCCCCGAAGGGGGACTCAGGGTGGCTTACAGACGGCAACAATTCGATGGCCCACATATACAACAGATAAAAAAAGTTACATAATAAGTAAAACATTAACATTAGATTAAAAACCATTAAAATCGTATAAATTGAAATTAGTTGGCATGTCAAGTCTGAGTTCTACAAACAACAATTTAATCCAAAGCCTGTCCATCGTCTGTTTTCCATAGCATTGTCATCATTTTTATTGTCAACCTGCTATCCAAATGCCTGGTCCCATAGCCACGTCTTCAACTTTTCCCTGGAGGGAAGCCGTTGACCTAATTTCGCTGGGGAGCAAATTCCACATTTGGGGGGCCATCACCGAGAAGGCCCTGTCCCTCATCTCCAGTGAAAAAGGTGGGAACGAGAGCAGGGCCTCCCCGGAAGATCGTAAGTTTCGAAGTGGGTCATAGGGGGAGATACGTTTGGACTAGTAAGCTGGGCTAGAACCGTATAAGGCTTTATAGGTCAAGATCAGCATTTTGAATTGTGCTCAGAACTGGACCGGCAGCCAGTGGAGCTGACATAACAGGGGGGTGGTATGCTCCCTGTATGTCACTCCAGTAAATAGTCTGGCTGCTGCCCATTGGAGTTAAAGTTTCCAAACAGTCTTCAACGACAGCCCCACGTAGAGTGCATTGCAGTAATCTATTCTGGATGTAACAAGAGCATGAACCACCGTGGCCAGATCTGAAAGTTATTATCCTATCACTGTCCTGTTTCTTTTTGGCCACTGAAAGTTCATAGGGATGGCATTTTTTTTCTGCCACCCTTGTACAGTTTCAACTGGAGACATGCATACTAGCAAGGAGCCGCAGTGGCGCAATGGGTTAAACCCTTGGGCTGGCTGACTGCTGATCCGAAAGTTGGTGGTTCAAATCTGCAAGACGGGGTGAGCTCCCATCTGTCAGTTCCAGCTTCCTATGCGGGGACATGAGAGAATCCTCCCATAGGATAGTAACACATCCAGGTATCCCCTGGGCAACATCCCTGCAGACGGCCAATTATCTCACACCAGAAGCGACTTGCAGATTCTCAAGTTGGTTCTGACACAATAAAAATACATGTTAGCAACACTCAACCTAAAGAATTTCCATGATATTACATAATCTGCATGTTTACAATTCAGCAGCTTATATACTGTATATACTCAAGTATAAGCCTAGTTTTTCAGCCCTTTTTTTAGGCTGAAAAAGTCCCCCTCGGCTTATACTCAAGGTTATTTATTATTTTATTCTGTTGTTGTTGTTATTATTATTATTATTATTATTACATTTATTATTTTACTCTATTAATTATTACTATATTTATCATTTTACTCTATTATTGTTACATTTATTATTTTACTTTATTATTGTTGTTATTATTACATTTATCGTTTTACTCTATTATTGTTATTATTGCATTTATTATTTTACTCTATTATTGGAAGGATACGTAAGCACATTTACACTGAAGAAGGCAAAAACAATGGTTTAATCAGAGGTGGACAGTGTTATCTTATATTACAATTCTATGTAAATATTCAAAAACATTTAATCTACTGATACCTCAATTAATGTAATTGCATTGGTATCTATGTTTATTTTGAAATTGATCAGTAGCTGCTGCATTTCCCATCCTCGGCTTATACTCGAGTCAATACGTTTTCCCAGTTTTTTTTGTGGTAAAATTAGGTGCCTCGGCTTATATTCAGGTCGGCTTATATTCAAGTATATACGGTAGTTTTCAGAAAGTATCTCAGACAAAAAATACAGCTGTTGAAAAGAATGTGATGGCTAATATATCTCCTCCCTCCTTGCTTTTCTCGCTTTCCCTTTTCTTCCATATTTTCTCTCTTATCCAGGGTGATGTGGGGTCTCCACTGATCTGTCCTGACCCCAAGGGTGGGGCATGGCTTCAGCTGGGGGTGTTAAGCAGCTTTGATGAAGCCTGTTCCCGCCCCTATGTCTTCAGCAGCCTGCCTCACTACTTGCCCTGGTTGGAGAAGATCACCAAGGCTGAAGGGCATCGGTACAACCTTTCCGTTCCTTGGGAACGGCTGGGCCCGGCTAGGAACCTTAGGCTGCTGCGGGAACCAGAGAGTGAGTAAGAGCTTGTTATTTCTTTTTTTTAATCTTTATTGAGTATTTAGCAGCTTGCAAGATATATATATATATATATATATATATATATATATATATATATTGTTGTTCATTCGTTCAGTCGTCTCCGACTCTTCGTGACCTCATGGACCAGCCCACGCCAGAGCTCCCTGTCGGCCGTCACCACCCCCAGCTCCTTCAAGGTCAGTCCAGTCACTTCAAGGATGCCATCCATCCATCTTGCCCTTGGTCGGCCCCTCTTCCTTTTGCCTTCCACTTTCCCCAGCATAATTGTCTTCTCTAGGCTTTGCTGTCTCCTCATGATGTGGCCAAAGTACTTCAACTTTGTCTCTACTATCCTTCCCTCCAGTGAGCATTCGGGCTTTATTTCCTGGAGGATGGACTGGTTGGATCTTCTCACAGTCCAAGGCACTCTCAGAACTTTCCTCCAACACCACAGTTCAAAAGCATCTCTCTTCCTTCGCTCAGCCTTTCCTAAGGTCCAGCTCTCACATCTGTAGGTTACTACAGGGAATACCATGGCTTTGACTAGGCGGATCTTTGTTGCCAGTCTGATGTCTCTACTCTTTACTATTTTATCGAGACTGGACATTGCTCTCCTCCCAAGAAGTAAGCGTCTTCTGATTTCCTCGCTACAGTCTGCATCTGCAGTAATCTTTGCACCTAGAAATACAAAGTCTGTCACGGCCTCCACATTTCTCCCTCTATTTTCCAGTTGTCAATCATTCTTGTTGCCATAATCTTGGTTTTTTTTGATGTTTAGCTGCAAAGAATAGCTGCTATATATATATGGAAAAGGAAAGGAAAGGAAAAAAGAAAGAGAAAAAATAAAAGAGAAAAAAAAGGAAAAAAGAGATAAGGGTGTGGGTAAGAAGTTGGGAAAGAAAGAAAAAAGAGAAAAAAGGAAAAAAAAGTGGGAGAAAAAGTGATTTCACTTCCAAGCTTCTTCCTGGAGGGTTTTTCCCCTTTCCTTCTTTCCTCACCGTCCCCCTCTTCTTTATTTTCTTTCTTTCTTTTCTCCCTCTCTTTTTTACTCTTAGAAGGCGAGTACTTTAATTCCTTCTTCTTTTGTTGCTAGTTTTATTTCAGGTATTCTGTTATAAGTGTCCAGTCTGTTTTTCCCCTTGTCTTTCCTTTGAATATCAAATATGTTAATCTATCCATGTTCCTTATGTCCATGATTTTTTTATTCCAGTCATCCAATTTGGGCAGGCCCGATTTTCTCCATATTTTTGCATAACAAATTCTTGCAGCTGTTGTTGCTAGGAAGAGGAGTTTATCTATATTGCTCTCTAATTTTTGTTAATTTATTCCTAATAAGAAAATCTCTGGCTAAAGTGGTATCTTTATTTTTTAATATTTTTGTAGGTTTTCTTGTATTTCTTTCCAATTTTTTTTTGCTTTATTGCGTGACCACCACATGTGGTAAAAGGTTCCTTCTATCTGTCCACATTTCCAACATGTGGAATTTATATTTTTATAATATTGCTTTAATTTGTGTGGTGTCATGTACCATGTATGCATCACTTTCATCCAATTTTCCTTTAGATCTGGGGTCCTCAAACTAAGGCCCGTGGGCCGATTATGGCCCTCCAAGGTCATTTACCTGGCCCTCGCTCAGGGTCTATGTAAGTCTGAAACGACTTGAAGGCACACAACAACAACAACAATCCTATCTCATCAGCCAAAAGCAGACCCACACTTCCCATTGAAATACTAATAAGTTTATATTTGTTAACATTGTTCTTCATTTTAATTATTGTATTGTTGTTAAGGTTTTTTGTATTACAAATAAGATATATGCAGTGTGCATAGGAATTCATTCATATATTTTTTCCAATTATAATCCGGCCCTCCAATAGTTTGAGGAACTGTGACCTGGCCCTCTGTTTAAAAAGTTTGAGGACCCTTGCTTCAGATCATAAGCACATGTATATTTTAATTTTTTATTCCAGATTGTTTCCCATTCGTCAATTCCTATTGTTCTTCCAATATTTTTTGCCCAGTTTATCATACATTATTTTACTCTCTCTTCCTCTGTGCTCCACTCTAATAATGTTTTGTATATTTTAGTTATAATTTTCTTTTCCAATTTCATTATTTTATCCCAAGTGTTTTCTGTCATTGAGAAGCCAAGTTCTTTATCTTTTATAAAATACTTTTTTACTTGCCAATATTGCAACCATGTTATGTTTGTGTATATCTCTTTTATTTCTTGTTGTGTTTTTAATACTATTTCCTTTCCTTGTTTTTTATTAATTCTTTGTAGGTAAGAGCTTGTTATTTCTCATAATCCGTTTGAGGCATAACTCTTTGTTTTTCAAAGCCACTTTTTAAAGACTACACTTTTCAGACTCTTTCAACTAGCATAGGAGTTGTAGATCAAAAAAACAACTTTCTATTCTTCTACATCACTGTAAATACTATGTATGCCTCTGAGCAGACCAGTTTCCATCAGGAATCGTGTCCTGTAAACATTGATTTAATTTGGGTAAGTAGTCTGGATTCTTTTCCTTTACACTGACCAGACTCTTTCCCTTCCCCAGCCTTGGTTGGATGGATCTCAGCACAGTCATCTTTGCCCTGGCAAGCGCTCGTTGCCACCTGTGCCAATGTGAGCTGCGGGGGCTCCATCCTGAGCCACTACTGGGTGCTGACAACAGCACAGTGTGTGAGAGAAGCGTAAGTGATGCACTGTTCTCTTGGCCTGGTTGAAAACTATATTGAGATGGGAAAGATTCGTATTTTTCTCTTTGGTTGCTGTTACGGTTGAGCAGGGTGGTTTGGTCCAATATAGCAATGACATTTTTTTAATTCAGATCCTTTCTCACATGTGACTTTTGTCCTGCTGGGAATTTATAACAAGTGCCTTTTTGTGAAGCTTGGTTTTTTTCATCCAACCTGTTTTGTACTTTGAGCAGAGTCATCTCATCACAGGGTGGTTGCTGAAAGGTAAACTGATCCTGCCCACTGATGTCAACTAGAGCACAGAGCAATAACTGCAGACTTATTTGCCTTAATCTATGCTCAACAGCATTGATGAGCTCAGATCCCATGAGATGCAAGTGATGCAAGAGCCAGTTCCACCAGAGAATTGGATCAATCTCGCCATAGTTCTTCGCACTTTCGTTGACCCTCCCATCTGTAATCCCAGTATTGTAAACGCATAAGGACGTTATCCTTCCAGCTGTGACCTTAATTTGATTTGAAGCGCACCTTGCACATTCCCTGGGCTCTATCTAGGAACAATTGCATATTCCCTGATACCTCCGTACTCAGCACTTATTCTTCCAGCCATGATACTGTTTTAAAATGTGTAATGTGATTGTAATGTTTCTTTGGCGTTGCAGTTGATTTTATTTTATCTTATTTTATTTTATTGTGTGTGTTTTAATCTGTATTTTTGGGCTAGTCCCCTGGTGAGCTGCCCCGAGTCCCTTTGGGGAGATGGTGGCGGGTTATATATATATATATATACACAATACATTATACCATTAGCACTGTGCTGGTACAGCTATACCAGGAGCTCCAATTTCCTTTTCTTTCTTTGAGTGTTTGCATGTATTCCAAGGTTCCATGCATTTTGCAATTAGGTGGCTTCCCTTGGTTTGCAATTATAGGGCCAATGAGCCATCAATCATCATTGGGTTTTTTAGTTCCACCCCTTTCCCCAGGGTTCAGGAAGGGAAGGGAGCCATTTTAGCTCAGTCTTACAGTTGAAAGCTTAGCTACGGGACGTGAATCAGCTTCACCTGTAGAGAAGCTTCGTTACTTACGAAATTCCAGGGGACTCCAGCTGGAGAATCTACAAAGCCTTGACTGGTAGGTCTACTCGGGACCCAAGAAGCAGTTTGGAGCCCGGAGTAGAGCCCACACCAGCAAAGTTTAGAAAGTAGATTGCCCAAGGAAGGGTTAAAAAGGGTTTTCCTCTTAAAGAAATGGAACAGTTCATGAAGCCAGTTGCCTGTCCCTTGTGGACAAGATTAAGAAAGCCACCAGTTGATTCAAAGCCTTGAAGTATTTGTTTGACCTGTTGAAAATCTGAGAAGTATTTGATTGTTTTGTTGAAGACCTAAGCAATAATAATGGATTTTGTTAAACTTTTCAAGCTTCTAAAGACTCTGTATAGGAAAATCCTTAGGGCCTCTCACTCGAGGCACCCCGGCTTCCCACTGGGCACAAAGAGCACGTCCTGTTCAAACGCCAATTGCTATAGGCCCAGCGCGTGACAGCACAAGCACAGTAAACTATCAGCACTATACATCACTATATTGTACTATACAATTATATTGTAGTATTATTAGCAATATTACATGTAATATAAAATATATAATTATAATATCATATTATTATTATTATTAGTAGTAGTATACTGCATTACATTATAATATTATAAATATTATATGTATATACAATATATTACATTACATTACATTACATTACATTACATTACATTATATTTTAGCATAGCACAGGAGACAAGGTGGAACTGTCCCCTGGCCTCCCCTGTCTTCACTCTGGCTTAGAGTGGCGGTTGGTGCTAGGGGGAGGGGTCTCCAACTGATGACATATGCAAGAGACAACATGTATATTGTACCCAATGTAAAAAAAGAGTGACAGGAACACAATATGCATAAAAGATCTTATTTTACCAAATAATTCCCTGAATTTAAGGAAGAAAAACGTTACCAGGAATAACCTTCAGAGACATTCTTTTAAATCCATTTGTTGTAGATCAGTCAGAGGCTGATGGTTTAACGGATGATTTAGAGAGGATTGTGGGCTTTCCTGGGAAATTCAGGCTGTCAAGTCTGGGAAATTCAGGTCTGGGAAATGATGTTTCTCTCTGTGAGAAAACTGGCTCGGAAAGTGCAGGGCCTCAAGGCCAGTCCGAGGAGTCAGAAGTAGCAACAGCAGATAAGGAATCGAGTGAAGAGCTGAGTGATAAGGAGGGTTCCCAGGAGAAACCACATGTAGCTACAGAGATGAACAAAAGACTTTGTTTACAAAGAGCCGAAAATAGATTCCACCGGTCTGTGGAGAAAATACACAGGAGATGTAATGCTTTCATGGGTATCTATTTAACAACAAGTTGTTTACCTTAAGGGCCTTTCAGGCAACGCTGCATTAAAGTGAGAAGCTAAGCCTGAAGCATTAAAGTGAGAAGCTAAGACCTCACTACCTTTGAGGATGCTTGCCATAGATGCAGGCAAAACGTCAGGAGAGAATGCCTCTAGAACATGGCCATATAGCCCGAAAAAACCTACAACAACCCAGTGATTCTGGTCATTAAAGCCTTCGGCAGTATAGTTAAGTTTGAGTTCTCTTGCTCTTGGTTCAAGTCAGGCCTTGGTTTTAGATTTTAATATACTGGGAGTTTTCTATGTTCCTGTTCATGTACTCCTGTTCAAGTTTTTCTAGTTATACTTTCTTGCTTGGGGACTTATCTTGTATCTGTGATTTCTGGCTGTTCTGGGGCTTTGTCACCTCTGGAACTGTATGAGAAATTTGGATTATTGTTTGGTTATCTTCTGTTGCTAAACCTTTTTGGATTACCGTATATTCCGGCATATAAGACGACTGGGCGTATAAGACGACCCCCAACTTTTCCAGTTAAAATATAGAGTTAAGACAACTCCCATGCATAAGACTACATCCGCGTATAAGACAACCCCTGACTTTTGAGAAGATGGGTTAAAAAGTAGTCTTATACGCCAGAATATACTGTATATCTCTTCCTTTCTTATTCCAGCTTTTTATATGCTTTTTATGTGTTTTACACTAAACTGTTTGCTTATAATTCTGGATTCTTGTGTGGTGCAGTGGTCTTAGATGTTTCCGGGCCTGGATTGCAACACCATTCATGTCCATTTTCAATTTGTTTTCCTCTGAAGGCCATGCAAATATATATTTTTGGTCAAAACGCATTAGGCTATATATATATTGGTGAAAAGGCATTGGACTATTTTTGAGAAATAACATCTTCTACCTTAGGTAATTTTTAACGGTAAGCAAACAGTATTTTGGCCCCCACCCCACCCCCAGCCAATCACTGATATATATTTTCTGTTCGTCGTGGGAGTTCTGTGTGCCATATTTGGTTCAATTCCATCATTGGTGGAGTTCAGAATGCTCTTTGATTGTAGGTGAACTATACATCCTAGTAACTACAACACACATATGTCAAGGTCTATTTTCCCCCAAGAGCGCCTCAAGAGTGCCCCTGGGCAAAATCAACTATACTGCGAATGCTTACTTTGCGTAATGGGTTGAGCCGCCCCTGCTCAGAGAATAGCGAGACAGAATAACACTTTCATGCACACAGAGCAGTTTTACACCCCTGATTGAAACAGAAAGACAGAATAAAGGAGTTGTTACCTTGAATAAACTATGTCAACATCTTTATTATTTTATTTATTTATTTACCGTATTTATATTCCGCCCTTCTCACCCCGCAGGGGATTCAGGGCGGATTACAATGTACATATACATGGCAAACATTCAATGCCATAGACACACAACATATATAGACAGACACACAGAGGCTATTTAGCATTCCAGCTTGATGAGGGTATTCTGGCCACCAGGGGAGCTGTACATTTGTGACCCTGATGGAGTACTTCCTCATTCTTTGCACGTTTGCTGGAGATTTTATGATGTTGTAAATTAGCTAAATTAGCCTTCTCGTATAAGTGGTACCTAAATTTCCTACTTGATAGATGCAACTGTCTTTCGGGCTGCAAAGGTCGACAGCAAGCTACACAAATTGTCGGAAGCTCACTCAGACCCGGGCTGGCTTCGAATTCATGACCTTTCGGTCAGTAGTGATCTTAATGCAGCTGACTCCCAACCAGCTGTAAATAAATTAGTTAAATTAGCCTCCCCGCATAAGTGGTACCTAAATTTCCTACTTGACAGGTGCAACTGTCTTTCGGGCTGCAAAGGTCGACAGCAAGCTACACAAATGGTCGGAAGCTCACTCAGACCCAGGCTGGCTTCGAATTCATGACCTTTCGGTCAGTAGTGATCTTAATGCAGCTGACTCCCAACCAGCTGCACCACGGTCCGGGTGCAAGCGTGCTCCTCACACTATCACCCTCCCATATTATGAGCAAAAAAATGTCTTCCCTTTATGTGTTGCTTTGTCTCTGATTTGAAACCAAATTAATTCCATCTCGTCTTCAATGCATACAGGGACCCAGAAGGCACTGCTGTTTTTGTGGGGTTGATGCACCCCAAAGGCCACGTCAAGGGGGTTCGTGTGGCTGGGATTTACCTCTCTCCAAACTCCAGTGTAGCTCTACTGCTTCTCCAGAAACCCATCGCCTTTAACAAGTACATCACTCGTATGGCCTCCTCCGCAACAGCATCTTGGGATAGCTGTAAAGTGATGGGCCTGCAGATACTACAATCCGGTATGACGGGCAAATGACTACAGGGGGGGGGAGGGGGGAGAAAGTGTGTTGTTGAGCTGGACTGAATGTTGCAAGACCAATCCATACTAAGCAGTTATTATTCCTTAACAGACTGTACATATCCGTTTGAACATACTCCATCAAGTTGAAGCTTGTTCTGTACAAAGAGGCAGGCAACCTGAGTTTTTGTTGACCTGGCTATTATTTCCAATTGCAGAGTACAATGGGGAGAAAAAAATTGTTACGTATTTGATCTAGTCTCAAAAAAATAGGCAACCTGATTTAACAAATGACACACACACACGTCGGCAACACTTAACAAACGGTCCACAAATGATTCATCATTATCCTTGTATGAAAAAAATGTGTGAACTTTTAGCTTTAGTGCTTCGTGGCATCCTCTTCAGCCAATAATGTCTTCAAGTATGTTTACAGAACCCTTGGTCAGTCTCTCACATCAGTTTGAAGGAATGTTGTCCCGTTCCTTTTTAAAGAACTGCTTCAGCTTTCCTCACATTGACAGTTTACTTTAGGTTTTGCCACAGCATTGCAGTGAGCTTTGAATCTATTCTAAAATATGAATCCATCCATACTACGGTCTCATTTACTATGTATGTATGTGGAATTGAGGAACAAGAAGTTAGGCTTTGTTCTTGTGGGTTTTTTCGGGCTATATGGCCATGTTCTAGAGGCATTTTCTCCTGACGTTTCGCCTGCATCTATGGCAAGCATCCTCAGAGGTAGTGAGGTCTGTTGAAGTTAGGAAAATGGGTTTATATATCTGTGGAATGACTGGGGTGGGGCAAAGAGCTCTTCTCTGCTGGAGCTAGGTGTGAATGTTTCAACTGACCACCTTGATTAGCATTAGAAGGCCTGGCTGGGTCTGGGGGAATCTTTTGTTGAGAGGTGTTAAGATGTGCCTGGTTGTTTCCTCTCTGCTGTTTTGCTGTTGTAATTTTAGAGTTTTTTAATACTGGTAGCCAGATTTTGTTCATTTTCATGGTCTCCTCCTTTCTGTTGAAATTGTCCACATGCTTGTGGATTTCAATGGCTTCTCTGTGTAGTCTGACATGGTGGTTGTGAGAGTGGTCCAGCATTTCTGTGTTCTCAAATAATATGTGTCCAGGTTGGTTCATCAGGTGCTCTGCTATGGCTGACTTCTCTGGTTGAAGTAGTCTGCAGTGCCTTTCATGTTCCTTGATTCGTGTTTGGGCAATGCTGCGTTTGGTGGTCCCTATGTAGACTTGTCCACAGCTGCATGGTACACGGTAGACTCCTGCAGAGGTGAGAGGATCCCTCTTGTCCTTTGCTGAACGTAGCATTTGTTGGATTTTCTTGGTGGGTCTGTAGATTGTTTGTATGTTGTGTTTCCTCATCAGCTTCCCTATGCGGTCAGTGGTTCCCTTGATGTATGGCAGGAACACTTTTCCTCCGAGGATGCTTGCTATAGATGCAGGCGAAACGTCAGGAGAAAATGCCTCTAGAACATGGCCATATAGCCCGAAAAAACCCACAAAAACCTAGTGATTCCAGCCATGAAAGCCTTCGACAATACAGTGAGACTTTGGTTGGGGGGCAGAGGAGGCAGGATTCTTTCACACAGGTTTAAATATTTATTTATTTATCCTATTTATTTATTTATTTTATTTATTTCACAGTTTTGTATACCGAGCTTCTCAACCTCGTCGAGGGACTCAGCCCGGTTTACAGCCATAAAAACATATACATTCATTAAAATATCATATATCACAAATTACAAAACAACTTTAAAAACACTAAATATAAAACTACAGTGGTCAGTCGTCCTAATAAGATGGATCTATATCCACTTCCATCCAGAGTCCTATGGTGTTGTCTCATTCCTCGAAGGCCTGACTCCACAGCCACGTCTTCACCCGTTTCCTAAATGTTAGGATGGATGGGGCGGTTCTGGCCTCCAGAGGGAGAGAGTTCCAGAGTCGCGGGGCCACCACCGAGAAGGCCCTGTCCCTCGTCCCCACCAGCCGCGCTTGCGAGGCTGGTGGGACCGAGAGCAGGGCCTCTCCAGATGATCTTAGTAATCTTGATGGTTCGTAGGGGAGAATACATTCGGAGAGGTAAACAGGGCCGGAGTCGTTTAGGGCTTTATAGGTCAACACCAGCACTTTGAATTGTGCTCGGAAGCTCATTGGCAGCCAGTGGAGCTGGTGTAACAGCGGAGTGGTGTGCTCCCTGTACCCAGTCCCCGTTAGTAATCTGGCTGCCGCGCGTTGGACTTGCTGCAGCTTCCGGGCATTCTTCAAAGGCAACCCACGTAGAGAGCATTGCAGTAATCTAAGCGGGATGTAACCAAAGCGTGTACTACCGTGGCCAAGTCAGCCCTCCCAAGGTACGGACGCAGCTGGCGCACAAGTTTTAATTGTGCGAAAGCTCCCCTGACCACCGCTGAGACCTGGGGTTCCAGGCTCAGCGATGAATCCAGGAGAACTCCCAGACTGCGTACCTGAGCTTTTAGGGGGAGTGTGACCCCATCCAGCACAGGCTGTAACCCCATACCCTGTTCGGTCTTACGACTGACCAGGAATACCTCTGTCTTGTCTGGATTTAGTTTCAATCTGTAGAGCCTGACAGCTTGCTGGTTTTACCATCTTTTGACAGGTGAGATTCAGGTTAATCCCAGTGCATACCAAGTAAAAGTGCTATTACCCTCGGACTGTGCCAAGGAATATCCTGGGGTCAAACCAGCCATGTATTGTATCGTAAGGGATAACTCTAGCTACCTGCCTGCTGAAGCTGTGAGTATTCAAAGACCCTCCAAGTGAACCACCACTTGGGATAAGCCAAAGAAGTTGCCTTGCTTCATTCTTTTCTTCCTCTTCACAGGTAGGTGAAGGTGCCGCCCTGCTGTGCAGTTTGGAGTCAAAAAGCACAAGCTGGAGGCAGGTTGGCTTTGTGAGTGCGCCCCTTCCAGGATCCCAGGCGGTTATTCTGTCCTCTTGTATCTCCTCCTATGCTGACTGGATAGAAGAAACATCAGAAAGAGCCAAACACCTGGTGCATCTGTCCCATGGAAGTGCACCCCTTAGGCCAAATATTTGGCTCCTCCTCCTAATTCTGTCCTTATTTGGGGCGACGGAGTTGGGTTGAATGAAGGAACAAGATGGCAATTCCACACTTGGAACCTTCTTCAGGGAATGCTCTCCTTTGGATGTGCCCTCAAAGAGATTGGACGAAGGGCTCACTCAGCATCGATGGCTTTTTATTCTGCATGTGGACCCATTCTCATCTGCGAAGGTACCATGGGGCTCTTCCACCAGACACTGCCAAGCGAAAGGCAGCCCTCACCGCCCCCAGCACTCGTCAGTTGGGACTCAGCCAAGATGAGCTTCTCTAGACAATGTGGTCTATCTGAGCTGTGCGAGGTTGTCTATCATGAAGACTTGGGGGTTTTTATATCAACCGTTACTTCTATGAAGGAACTAATTACAATTATGCTAAATGAGATGGAGACTGACAGGGTAGATAAAGCTAAATCCCGAGGAAGAAGACATAAATGAGTGAATAAATAAATAAACCATGGCTGAAGTTCTAGAGAATTTTCCATCCATTTGCTGAAGACTTTGGATAGGGTCGTGTTCTGTGGCCAGGTTCTCCCATTACTACTCCCAGGGTTGTGTGTAGAACAAGTGTCTGCAACTGGGAAGTTCCCAATATATAAACATGCAAGATAACATACTTTGTGAAAATTGCATTTTCTCAAAGAGGGCCTATGGTTCGGATTTAAGATCTTCCTTTTCCTTGTCCAGACAATGCCCTCCGAAAACTTTGCTTTCCAGGAGGCATGGAATTAACTATAAAGGGAAAGGAAGTTTGGGAGTGGAAACAAGTTGAGGGAGGATTGCTTCCATGATCTCTGGATCTGTTGGTAGTCTGTTGCAGGTCAGACTTGATCTGTCAATTGGGGGCTAGTTCTTCCAAGCAGTTAGGACCATCTCTTTTTCTCATTCCTGAAGGCACTGTTGAAAGTGTGGCTGGCGGTTAGAGAAAATAAGTCTTTTCCATTTTACTCCATGTCTGTTTCAGAACAAAGGAAACACAGGTGCAGAGACATGCTGCGGACGGAAGGGCAAAGGAATACCTGGCATTCCTCAGTCAGGGCCTCCGGGGCTAGAAGTTACTGTCTGTGATTTACCTTCTTTCTGAACCATGCCGTGTAATTTTAGGTTCCTTCCTCTGTATCCTGCCAACTTCCCGCTTTTAGTCTTGTGTTGCAAACCTTTGTCTTACAGACACACTTGTCTCATTTCTTGATCTTGGCTTTGTTCAGGAAACCTAGGTTTGTAGAGGAAGAGATGAGACATGGTGCCTTCACACATCAGGGTTAGTTTGTGTGGCAACAGAACCGAGCAGTTCAGATTGTGAAACGCCTGGTCCCATCGGAGCAAGTGCCAAGTGATGCCTCTATGTGACATTGTAAATAAAACAGAAAAGGAAAAAAATTGGTGCTTCCTGACATATCGTTTGTTGTGCAATCATACTACCTCATAATTTTATAGGAAATAAACAATTTGAAGTTGTCTGAACTCTTCCTTTCTGTCTTCCAGTTTTGTTTCTTAGCATAGAAAAATCTAGTAAGGGGAGGAGGAAAGGATGGAATAGCTGCACAATATCTTTTGATGGTGAATGAGAGGAGTCCTTTATTTATTTATTCATCTATCTATCTATCTATCTATCTATCTATCTATCTATCTATCTATCTATCTATCTATTTGGTTCTGCTTTGCTACTTCAAGACTAATGTTGGAGAGTGGTCAAAGCGGTCCCTGGTCCAGAGGCGGTCCTAGGTAATTTTCAATGGTAAGCAAACAGTATTTTGGCCCCCCCCCCCCAACCAATCATTGATATATATTTTCTGTTTGTCATGGGAGTTCTGTGTGCCATATATGGTTCAATTCCATCATTGGTGGAGTTCAGAATGCTCTTTGATTGTAGGTGAACTATACATCCCAGTAACTACACTTGCCGCACTTGCTCCCTTGCCTGGCCCGCTTTGGG